CAAGTTGCGAAAACAAGGTCAAACAAATTCTATACAAGGAAAGGAGACTGCGTCCACACAAAATGCCACACCATCTTGGTCTTTATATCTTCGATTAAATTATATAACCTATCCTTGCCATGCTGCCATATGGCAAAGTAGTCATCCATATATCTGACTAACAGTTTGGGTGTCAATTTCCCCTCTTCTATGAAGTGTATCTCTATTCTTGACATGTAATCATAAGCCAAAATGGGAGCCAAGCAAGATTCCATTGTTAGGCCTTGCACCTGATCATAAACTCTATCATTAAAGGTTAAGTATGTGCTGCTAATGGATAGATTAAGAAGCCTTAAGATTGAGCCTGAGCTCAGATTTGCCTCCCTAATAATTTCTGGGTTTTTATCTAGGCTGAGTGTAAGTGCTTCAATAGCTTTATGAACTTTGATGTTAGTATACATTGATACCACCTACAAAAACTAATTAAAAGATCCTACTCATTAATACTCTGTTGATCTATTAATCTAGCAAATTCATATGAATTCTTCACTGAATATTTCCAATACTCAGCCAATTTCCTTAGTTGTCTACATAAGAAACATGAGATCTTATGCATCACGTTACACTTGTTATTAACAATAAATCTTAAAGGAACTCCTTTCTTGTGTATGTTTGAAAAGCCGTAAGCCGAAGGAGCCCTAGCATTCCTCTGAAGAAGTAAATTCATTTTCAAATTATCAATTTCTTCTCTGCTTATACAAACGTTAAGCCATTTCCTAAGTCTGGCCTTAAGACTTTCTGTGGGATCCTGCAGTAAAAGTCTGTAAGTTTCTGAGTCATTTAAATGAACCATGATTTTTTCTATATAACTTAACCTATCCAGGATGACAACTGCACTAGCTTTATCTGCCTTTAGGACAAACAGATCGTTTTGGTGCAAATGTCTATAAACTTTATTCAAGTAATACGATTTATTTGGAATAATTACTTCATCAAAATAAGGAATTACTTATCTTTCACTTCTATTTTTAGCATCTTATGCAACTTGTCCGTTAAGTTAATTAACTCAACCAGTAAATCCATAAAATGATTTTGCTCATTTGAAAATACAAAGTTTAAACCTCTTTCAAAGACGAACATAACATTAGCATCTATAGATATACTGGATAATTTAATGACTTTATTATTGTTAGAAAAAATAGTACTAAGTCAAACTAACTTCTTATTGTTTTGATGATACCTTTGGCTGATGTCGATGCCTAAATTCCTTAATTTCTTATCATATCGAGATCTATGGATCTTATCTATCAAATCCCCCAAACAGTCCGCCATTTTCTGCAATTTGATAAAGTCTTCTTGAGAAAATAGCTAAGAAGGGGATAGATTAGTCTTAAGAAGATTTTATCAAATTGCAGAAAATGGCGAACGGTTTGGCGGATAGGATGGATAAGATCCATAGATCCCGACATGATAAGCAATCAAGGAATCTATGCATCGACATCAGCCAAAGGTATCCTCGTTTAGGAATGTACCACGTCCACGGTTCAACTTTGGAAATGATCATGCAGACAATGAACTCCGGACTAGGTGCGTTCCTCTAAGTCTTCCTACTAATATAACCATGTTGTGAAAAAAAGTCAAAAAACCTCTATACAATTAAAGGAGACTGCAACTACGCAAAAGGCCACACCATCTTGGTTTTCATACCTTCGATTAAAATAGACAAGTTAGGAATTATAATAGTGAAGGGGATGATACCCAGAAATAGGACAAATGAACGCACTAGGATAGGAGGTTTATTAATTATATGAACTTGTCTCTTTAACTAGATGAAGTGGGTTCTAATGACAAGGCTAACTGACGACGCCGACACTAAGTCTTAGAATGTCCATTTTCAGACGCTATAAATTAACAGGAATAATATGGCAGAGGTATCCGGGCAAATTTCGATTATCAAGGTCTCTTTGATAATATATCGAAGTTACGAAAATGAGCTAAAACCACTTCTATGCGGCAAGAGTAGTCCGCAGAACTAGTAAGGGCCATGACATCTTGGCCCCTATAACTTCAAGAAATCAGCTTAGGAAACAAAATAGTTAGATTTGTTGCAAAATCATCTATTTCGATTGTATTTATTAGGGGAAGTAAAGTAAAATAATTCTTTTTAAATTGCCTTAAAATATTTATGAGCAAACATAATAATATTAAAACTTGAAAAAAATGGAATGAAATATTTATATTCTTAATCCTTTTACTTATTATGTCGCTTGCTCAACCATTATTATTGTTCACGTCATTGCTATGCCACATTTTCACAAATATTTTACAATTTAGAACTTTAATTTCCCTTGGATTTAGCTTTCCTGTACTAGCTTGCCAGGTCCTAAACATAATTGCTCTATTTTATCTCAGACATTGAATCTCAATTTATCCCTCATGCGTCTGAGTTTTGGGCAATGGATTTCAAAAAAAAACATTTTAACTCTTTTTAACAAGCTTTTATAATAATTTTTGTTATTATATGCGCATTTATATAAATTTCTTTCTCCCTGCAGAAGCCTTTAAATAGAGCAAAATTCTCCGAATTTCAGGCATTTCATAATTTTATTTTAAATTACATCACCCGCCATTAATTAAAAAAAATCAATCTATGATGAATAGAAACATATTTTTAGCTCTAATTATTAGGACACTAAAACAAAGTAAATTTGCCAGTCGTGACATTCATAAAATATTTTGGTTCAGATGAAATTCAAAAGAGCATCATGAAATGTACAAAAAAAAGAAAATAGGGTAGGTGTAAAGTTTCCCCTTATTCGGTCGCTTGCATTTCACCCGGTCGTTTTAGTATTGGGTTATTTTGAGGCATTTTCTATTTTTATTCGTGATGACTTCGGGATCTGATATTGACACGGATTGCATGTCATTGACTAGATTTATTGTTGCAGAACAACAGCGTTATCCTTCAGCCACGGGTGAACTCACTCAGCTAATGAACGGCTTGCAAACTGCCGTCAAGGCTGTCTCCAGTGCTGTAAGAAAAGCTGGAATTGCTCAGTTGTGAGTAGCTGCTATTGTCCACATGCATTTTGTGCCCGATATCTCACAGGCTTTAAGTCTGTAATTCTGTCGTCAATCAATGTAACTTGTGCCTTATTTTTTCTCAGAATCTCATTTGTCCTCCGTACTCCCCTTGTTCAGTATGATTTTATACTTGAATGCTCTTCTGTTAATTTTTGATTACTTTATCAAATTGTCCCATATATAATCGAAAGTATTAATAGTATTTATTTCATTTAATTAATCATCATATTAAGCTAGCAGACTCTATACTATAAAATTTTTTATCTTAAATCATGCTACACTCTTCTCTGCATTTGGTTTTTTACACTTAAAAACCTTGTACTTAAATCTGATAAGCTCCTGCCTGGATCTTTCTGCAAAAGATCCTGGCTGGCTCGTATCTCCTTATTAATTTATAATATCCCATGAAAATTTGATGATTTATCAAATTCACCTTCAAAATAACAGAGCTGTACTTTTTCGACATTTTTTTGGGATGTACATAAGGTTAGTACCATTCTCATTTCGTTCTATAGTGGACTTGAGCCGATACTTTTGTTTCTATAAATCATTGGATAATTAATGAGATAATTTATTACATATTTTACTATATTCCGGGACCAATTTTATTGTAACGCTTGGTCATCTATCATAGTAAATTCTATGAGTAAGAGGGATAATTGAAAAACTATATAAAGCTGAGGCTATTTTAGCATTAGCTTACCTAATTACTATTTTCTTTCCGGACGTTTTTGGTGCTCAAAGTAGAATTGTCATTTCTTTCTAAATTCTGTAACCAAAATTGTTATATGATTTTATATAAATACTTCATATTTTACTACTTATTCGCTGCTCTAACTCTTGATTGCTACTTAACTAGGTATCCTTTGATCCACAGCTATCTTATCGCAACAAGCTAGTCCCATTTAAATTTCATTAATATTGTATGCTTATTTCCATGACTATAAGAGTTGTTGCATAGGTGATGGACTGCTGCGTTTATATGATTAATTGAATGATATATGGCAGTACTACACATTATAGCCAGTATTACATCTTGATACAATTCAATAATGCAGCATAATCAGGTCACTGCTCTTAAACACACATAAGTGCGTTTTCAGAGCCTTCGTTAAGCGCATATAGGCACCTACTTTGAAAGTTAACGCGTTTTATACATACTATGTTGGTACAATTGCTTCATACGAGGCCTATTTTTTTCCAATTAATCCCTGTATTTTACAAGGTTCGGCCTTGCTGGCTCTTCAAATGTCCAAGGAGAGGAAGTAAAGAAGCTTGACGTGTTGGCTAATGAACTTTTTATTAATATGCTCAAATCATCGTATACTACTTGTCTTCTGGTTTCTGAAGAAAATGACACCTGTATTACAGTTGAGCCAGAGAAACAGGTAAGTTCTTTCAACCAACCTTTACTCTGAGTTACAATATTATATTAATTCTATAATTTCAAGATCCGATGTTATTTTTAAGAGCATTGTAGGCCTTATTAAGTTTCTAATTTTTAAACTCGTTTTTATGGCAGATTTGTGATTCTTTTTATATTTATATTTAAACTACCTTTACTTATTTGGTGCTATTTATTGTTCTCAGTCATAGGCCACAATTTTTCTATTGACAGACGGCTGCCACAGATTTATTTCCTTCCTAGAGCATATAGTGCGAATGAGCTTTAACACTAATTACCATGTTAGTGTACCTTTTATTTCGTTTGAAAAGGCGAATGGAAAGGATAGGTAATTTGGTCTCGCCGTGGGGGTATTGTCATGGAGCTGTGATTATATTCGTCTAGGTCGCTGAGCCGTGAGACATGGACCTATTCGCACAAATCTAGTCAGCTCCCACTACAGCTTCTAGCAAATCCTTTCCACTCGACTCTTCAAACGAAATGGAAAGTACTCTGACATTAATATATTAAGGGATTTTTATAAACCAAAATTTTCTCCATACGGGCTACTCTAGTATGCTTGCTTTTCATTTCGTCCCACTGATAGGCTATTCTAGCTTATAATTGCATTCCTTCGAGTATATTACAAATGTTTATCCTTTTCCTATGGTTTAACTATCAGAGCTAATTGGGGAAATGATAAGACTAATATCAATTAAAGTATTTCATCTAAAATAATTTGAGTGAGGGATCAGAAAAATCTATCAAGTATTCATGATTTCGGAGCCTATTAGGCGTAAATGTTAAGATTTTCCTTTTTATGTTTAATACATAATTTATTTGTCTACCCAATTATTAACTGCTTTTATCTACTAATTTACATTTTCTCAACTTTATTTTTATTTGGTCTCTCCAGAAGGTGAGTATTTGCTTTTTTGTGGCCAGGTGTTAAATGTACACTATCACAATCGCTTTACCATGCAATATTTAGCAGTCAACTTGCATGAACTATCCAGTCTCACCTATTTTTCTAAGTTCTAACTAAATGTTGTATACTTATGCCACGACATTCTTATTGTGTTTAATAATATGACAAAATTAGAGCTCTGCTTGCTAAATACTTCATCAGGCTCTCCAGAGCTTGTTCTTTCTAAACAGTCAGATGGTTGGCAACACCTTTACACTTTTGTCAACCAAGCAGAAACTTGAGCTTCTATCTCTGGTGTTTATCGTTCTTTTGTTTTATACATATATATTCTGCCTTTAGCCCGAATTAGTTTTTATCTAATATAGTTAACTAAAATTGGTAAATTTATCTTACTTATGCAGACCAATTTGATTAACTAAAACTTCAGAGTTTTTCCCTTACTTCCTAAGGGTATATTTTGCGGACTTAAATGTAACTAATGGGATTGAATTTTTCATCACAGTCTTATTTTATTATTTGTCACACCTGACACACTAGTGCAACTCATGGGTTTTACTCTACTATTCAAAGTTCACTCATAGAGAAGAATTAAAATTGTGCTCAAATGTGGACTGAAAGTGATTATGCCCTATCGTTATGTACAGCTTAACTTCGTTTAGAGGTTGTTTGACCTTGTTTTCGCAACTTGGTCATAGTAATAGGAAGACTTAGAGGAACTCACCTAGTTCGGAGTCCATTGTATGCATGATCATTTCCAAAGTCGGACCTTAGACGTGGTACATTGCCAGACGTTTCGCCGATATCCTAGTCGGCGTCGTCAGTGAGTCTTGCCATTCTTAGCACCACACTACAACTCATCAAAGAGACAAGTGAAGCCGATCCTTTGACCAAACGTGTGGTATCTCTCCAACCCTGGGCTATTCACATTTGTTATATCCTCCTATCACGCCT